ATGCTTCCAAGTATGGTCCCATCATAATCTCAGGATAATTATGAATAAACCCCACTTCACTCTCCAAAGTGTCTCAGTCTGGATGTTAAATTGTTAGTTGTCATATTGTAAGTTAAGGAAACAAATATGAAATTTTATTAATAATATGAATATACTGTTAATGAGATTAACTAATAAAGTTTTAATTATACAGTAACTTTCCATGAAGTAATCTTGATTTTAAAGGGGTAAATGTTTTACTAAATAAAACGTCTTTTGATATTTTGTAGTTCTTTCCAGAAGCTGCAATTAAAAAAAAAAAAAAGCCACTGGAATATGAAAAAGGAAGAGTTCTTGAGAAAATTCCCTCAGGAGATTTTCATTTCCTCTCCCTACCTGGAGAATGACACTCTACACCAAACATTTGGGCAGAATTCTGTTGTAGTCTTTGGGCGTCAATCTTGTCATGTGTGGGCACATGTGAAGGGTTAGCTCTGGCATGTGAGCTGCCATCCGTTAACAGTATGTGCTTCTTCAGTGCTGTAATGTCCACAATGAAGCCAAAGTCAGGCGACCAGATGCAGTCGCTGGTGTTGGCTTCAAGGCTCAGTATGTCGAGCCAGGTCTGTTTTCTGATTCAATTAACATTTATAGAAAACCTACTATGGACCAGATTTCTTATTTGTTCCTGATAACAACCTGTGAGGTGTGCATTACTTTCCAGGTGGAGAAATAGAGAGATCAAGTGACTTTCTGAGAGCCACTCAGCTGGCCATTGGCGAAAAGTTGTTCCAACATGGCTGACCCACTCACATGTGAGCTCTGCTCTCCATAGCTGCCTGAGTCTCCAGTCCTGGCCTTGATATCTAAACAAAGAGAGCATTTCTGAAGGTGGAAAGCCATTTCCTATTGGTGTAAAGTAAGTCTCCCTACATCGAAATAAAATAAAATATTCCTATTACTTTTTAAACAACTTCAACACTTTCCCTCGGAAAACAAGAGAGCAGACGACATCACCCCACCTTCTTTATCTTCTACTGCCACCCTTAACAAGCGTATCAAGGAAACTGTACATCCAGTGAGAAGACTCTCTGTGAGCGAGCTGCCTCCGGACAGACTGAGCTTCTCCCTTTCATTTATTTTGAGAAGCTGCAAACTGCTAAATTCTTTAGTCTTTTCAACTTTAACACTGGAAATTTGGCTCCAAATGAAGGAGTATCAGGAATCCAAAGCAGAATAATATCTGAGATCCTTTGCATTTAGATCTCAAGCACCTGTGAGTCATTTGGTTGTATAGATACCTGCTGTAGAGTTCACAGTCGTTCAGAAAGCCCTGGGCTAGCTCCATCATAACCGCCATGAGGAAAGACTGTCCACTGCATGGAACAAGAGTTCAGAGCCCGTAAAAGCCCTACAGCCTCCCTACTGTCCTGAGCCCTGGCATGTTAGGGGGCCCCAAAGATGCTAAACAAGGTGAACGGTTCTTGCATTGTGTTCCTGAGCAGCCCCCAAGGGCTACCTAATGACTAGTCATGGCTCCCAGCTTCACTATGTCCAGGAGGTCAGGAGTGCCGGTTCCCTGCACTTTCTGAATTCCAACCTGCATGGGACTCCTGTGACACTGGAAGTTAGCTCCGGGGAAACACTCTGGAAAAAGGTTTTCATTAATAGATTTTCAGTATTAATTACTAGAATTGTCACATGAAGAACTTGGAGAAGAAAATGCTTTACATGCATTCAAAGCTTTACGCCATAAAGACCTTGTGACTACTGATCATGGAGTCAGTGGCAAAACACACAGAGATGAACTTGGGTGGAGTTTTGTTACTGCGTTTTTAAGGGACCATTGTATTTGGATGGCCTATGGTCAACTGTTGTCCTCAGAGCAAGCTTTCCGTAACCTTAAGGAGGCATGTTAATATATAACACTCCAGGGGCATCAGGCTGCAAACTTTGACAAGAAATGTGTTCAGCTGAGCTTAATGTAGCAGCTGTGGCCACCACTCCGACATCAAGGAACTGAACCAGTCTATTATTTTGACTAAAAGGAGTATATTGTTACATTATTTTTGTGAAAAGTTGATACAGACAATTAACCTACTAATTCCATTGTAGAAATGCAAATGACAGACTCATTTTTACTTGGATGTCTTAGCACTGATGACACATCTCAAGGGTACACATTCTAAGAATTGTAGTCAAGATTTCTTTTCCTTTTAAAATGTCTCAAGCAATTAGGCTAAAATAATCATATTAACACAAATAATGATTTTCCCCAAAGGTTTCTATTGGCTGGTAATTGCTCATGGGATTTTGTGCAGTGAATCCTCTGCAGCTGATCAAGAACTCTTACCATCAGCACAGCAGGGGTAGAGAGCTGACAGTGCGTGTCTTCTCAACTCTTGTGTCCCAGCGACTTCATGACGGTGTCTGAAATCAGGAGTCTGAGAGTATATCCACCCAGAAATAAAAAGTTCCTACAGCCTAGGGCTTCACTTCAGCCCCACCCTGGGATCAAGCACTGGCTCACCCTGTGCCATTACATATAAACACAGAAGGTGAGAAAAAGAGAGATTAGCTTGGAGCCAAATTCCAGCATTCCAATTATGGAAACATTTGAGAGAATTTTTCTCAGAGCAGATTACAGAAGAGTAATGCAATTTCTGACAGTCCACTGTGATTTATTAAAATATTATCAAAGTATGCTGACGTTCAGAAAGAACGAATAGATAAGAGTATCTGTTGGCTATTAAAACACTCTGAAACTCCAGGAAGTCACATACCATGGTATTGGTGCAAAGGTAAAAAAAAAAAAACTGGATGAACAAAACACACATACCAGAAAAAGACCCTATCAGATTGACCCTATCAATATAAATTAAGAGCATCAAGTACGATTCAGTATTTACTCTGACAGTAATTGGTTGCACAGTAATTGGTTGCCACTTTGGAAATTAAGAAAATCAAATGAGTCCCTTACCTCCCACTGAAGGCAATGAGTTTCTAAACCAGAATCAAGTTAAAAATAATAGAAGTAGCCAGGCTCGGTGGCTCAGCCTATAATCCCGCACCTTTGGGAGGCTGAGGTGAGTGGATTGCCTGAGCCCGCGGGTTCGAGACCCGCCTGGGCAAGTGAGACCTCATCTCTACAATAAATCAAAAAATTAGCCTGGCATGGTAGCGCGTGCCTGTAATTCCGGCTACTTGGAAGGCTGTGGTGGAAGGATCGCCGGAGGCCAGCAGGTGGAGGCTGCGGTGGCTGGGAGCGGCCACTGCACTCCAGTCTGGGTGACAGAGTGAGACTCCAACTCAAAAAAAAAAAAAAAATTAATAGAAGTACAGAAAAAGTAAAAGAGAACAAAGTGTTTAACAACTTCCATTGAGTACCAGAAATCCACTAAGTTCATTACAAGGTAATATTTCATTTAATTATCACTATTGGCCTATGCATGTATCTTGATACAATTTTTCTTCTGGTCTCATAAAGTAACTGAGATAGAGAGGTGCCCAGTCTGTCATAATGTGAGCAGTGGAGCTAGGAATTATGCTCACCAGTGACTTCATAGCTCTCAGACTTACCACAATGCTATTCTGTGTCCCTGTAAATACTCAGTCAAGGTTATTCAGCAGTATAACCTTATAACGTATTTACTGACAGAATAAGTTCAAATTATCAAGCACTTTCTCTCAAAGAAGTGAATTCAATACATAATTTGAAATTTAAAAGCACTGAAAAATTAGGAAAATTCGTTTATTTTACAGATCAGAAGTTCTTTATGCATGCAGGTGCTAGGGTTCTTTGCCAGAATTCTGATGCTGGCAATGTTCATACTAGTTTCAGAGGGAAAAAGAAGGTGCAGGCAGAAGGGTCTTGGTGGGAAAGGCACAGGCCCTGCGCCCACAGGCATTCCCTGCCGTGGGGATCTCAGCAGACACATTGACAAGGAAGAGTGAGACAAAATGCCAGGTAGGGATCCACTTCCCATAGTTCTTGGAAAAACCACCACCAAGTAGGAAACGTTGAACCGTGCAGAGATGAGAATCGCTTCCATCACCCAATACCCTGTTCCCACGGTCTCCACTTCCCTGACAATACTAACTTTATTTAAAGTGTTTTGATACTATACAAAGAACTGTCATAAAATAGCCAAGCAGTTCTGAAAGTCCCCTTTCCTGGCCAACACTGGCTGGATAACCTCTATTTCCATTCCTGAGGCAGGTATCTCCCATTCCCACTCCTGTTTTCACTTTTCAATTTCTCTGGCCTTCCGCTCTTCCCTTTGTCAGGCTGTAATTATTGACCATAATTTCTGCATCTCCCCTGAGTTCTGGTGTCACACATTTGGCATAGATCACACAGTTAAAAGTTTCCTGAATGACTGAGTCACTTCCCAACCACCTGACAAGAATACCTGCTTGGAGGTTACATCCCCACCTCCAAGCCTCAAACCAACCTATTATCTTGTCCGTTTTCTGACACTTAATTTCTGTCAATGATCATAAAAACTAGCATTTGTTGAGTAACTGTCACGTGTCAGGCACTTTGCAGTATATTGTCTCCTTCTCACAACAGTCCTCTGAAATAGGTGACCTAGTGAAGACAACAAGGTCAAAAACACCAAGCAAGTAGAGGAGCAGAGACATGAATTCACGTCACCCAGCTCAAAACGGCATTTCCCTCAGGCCTTTCCAGATCATGTAATCCTCTCGGCTTTAGTGTTTCTAAACTCTCAAACAGAGGCCCAAAGGACAACAAATGCAATCAAAAAAGATAACCTGAATTGACAGGTAACCAGGGCCGAGCAAAAAGAACTGAAAGTGCAGCAAAATCATAGAAGACAGAATCATAACCCAAAACATAGAGAACTAAAGAGATTTTTGAGACTGTAATCAAGATTTGCTGATTTGTTTGAAGCAAGTTCCGACACATAATACAAGTTAACTTTGCTTGATTTGGGTGAAAACTCAGTTTTTGGGACCATTTCTCAGATTCTACACCAAGAATATAAAAGAAAACTGAAGCAAGTCAATTAGTATATTTTATTTAAAAAATTATTTTTGGAGCCTACAAACGAGTAACTTCCAAAATAGTAGCAGTACAGAGTATTTAACAATATTTTAATATTTCTTTTTACTCAACAGTCCACCTTTGTGTTTTGCTTTCCATAAACAAATATACCAGATTAAAGCAACAATACTCATAACTCCAAGTCCAATGCCTGAGTTTCGTGACCACTATTTCCATTCAGAGTTTAGCAATTACTTCACATTATTCTGTCACAAATGACAATTAAATGGCCTACCTAAGTAGCAAAAATCATAAAACTATTACAAGCCAAGTCATTGGAATTTATAAAGTGAATGTAGAACAAACATTATACTAATACACATGTATACCGGACCCCACTAGAAATAATAAGCTTTGTTTAAAGGACGAGATCTCTGGGCAGAGATGGTAGAGGGTCATATTATCAAGGATTACTGGGAAGACGGTAGGTAAAGAGAAATTGTCCTACAATTTTAATCAGATGAAGGAAACGGGGCATACCAACATAGCCAACAGCAGCTGAGAACCAGTGGCCATTCCCCACAGCCACTCCACAGGCTCTCTGGGCCTCCTGTCACTCTCCCACTAACTTTCTTTACATGGGGCAGGAACCTACACTTATAGGGACAGCAGAACAGTTTAGTCTGACAGTTGGCAAACAACAGGAAAAAACACTGATAGAGCCCCACCATCTCATACCCCTGAAAATAGGGGCCACAATGAGTCACCAAGAAACAGTATTCAAAGAGCACTGTGTTATCTAATGTGATTTATAAAACAAAAATTCAGTCATCTTCAATGAAAAAGGCCACAGTACTGAAAACTAGGAATGTGTCAATGCTGATTTTAATCCAAGTGGCACTCCAAGCCAGGAAGCTGGAACAAATCCCAAACCCACAATTGTGAGCATCACCTCAGTTTAATAATCCAGTAAATGACAAAGAAGACAAACAGTGAGAAGAGCATCATGTAGCAGAGCAGCTTCGTCTGGCTTCCTCGGGACAAAACCTTCAGTCTTCCCATGGTTTTCCCTAGAAATCCAGTTGTAGAATCGAACTGTGAATCCTGGAGGAGGTAAAGGAACACAAAATGTAACAGGCTCAAACATTCTACACATGCATATCCAAGTCAAGAGCAGCTGCCGTGGATACATGGTTAATGACAATTCTGGTGTTTAATCAGTTCAGGAGTCTGTTTATAACCCTGAGAAACCAGCCTGGTTACTTCATGTAAAATAAAGCAATTCTCTCAGCAAACCCAAAGCTCTTTCATTACCCAATAAACACCTCTTTCAGCCTCACAGAGCAAATGCAACACTGAGCAATTCAGATGATTCAGGTGTTCCTGAAATCAAGCACCACAAAAGTGAAGGTGGGCAGTGTGTGCACTGTCACACAGGCTGCTCTCCCACCTTCCGTGTGACGTTGCTCGCAAGGTCAAATGGTGGACTCTACCCAAGGAGAGGAATTCACCACAAATTTAATGTGGTTAGTACTTAAATGTACCTTTGCTTTTAGGAGCCTTTTGTTTAGACAGCTGACTCTGAATAAGTGGGGTCTACTGAAAGTTCAGAGACTATCACACAGAGGTAGTGAGATGTGGTAAGGACTATAAATATAGATGGGAAAAGTAACACATGAAAACATGGCTGGAAAAGTCCTGAAGACAAGTGGGCTTGGCATGGACTAGAAGCATCACACACTCTTCCACGGGAATCTCCACACCCCGAGACGCACAGGCCCACGTGAGAACCGCCTCTGCATGGCTCAGTCTCCAAGTGGCTCACACACTTCAGACTCACGGGCCCTCACCACGGCTGTGTCCCTAGGCCACCCAGGACACCTCTGTCTAAATATTTATGCCTAGATCCCTTTCCGTGAAGTTTGGAATCAGTGTACTTAAAGCAAGAACCAGACACATGTCTTTTCAAAGGTGTCTAGGGGACTACAGCACACAAGCTCCGCCAGAATATTTCTTTCAATGCCAAGTTCATTTCTGAACAGTACAGATTTAAGAGCATGTGGTGAAACCTGGAAGATCCAGAGAAGTGTGACATACAAAATCAACATTAACGGATGGGAGGAGGCTCTAACAAGAAAAGGTGCATATTGTTAGAGGTAAGGCTTGGGCTGCTCACATCTAGGCATGTTTTGCTCAGAATCCTTAGAAAATCAAGCAAAGCAGTAAGTTTCTATCAAGTGAAAGACACCTGGGTGGTGGATATAAAGTGTTTTTTGATTATGTGGGTAATAACTTACTAGTAGTCTTTACCCACTGAAATGTCTAAGACCACTCAAAATGGCCATGGAGTCATTAACAGTGTTTCTAAACACAGGATTAAGGATACATTGGCTTCCCCTATTCTCCCACTCACCTGTGTAGGCTAGATGGACAATGCAAAAGTATGGCAAAAATAAATCTCACAGTTGCTCCAAACAGAGTAGTTACAAAAAGATGGAACCCAGGACTTATGACGTCAAAATGGATAAAAGTTGAAATAGTACTAGTCCTAATTAACTGACTAGATTTGAGAATATTTGATCATATTTCTTAAAGTTAAAATCATAACCACTTACCATTTCAGTTAATAATTTATTCTGACTTTTAACTTCATGGCCTATTTCAATGGAAAGCTATAAAGAAAAAGGCACACATATTATTACTCATGGAAAGGTATTCAAGTGTTACAAAGTAAAAAGAATAATGCCATTCTAAGCATACACATTTTCTCAAATGAAACTGTCTTGTAGAAATATAAAATATTCTCTCCTCTTCTGATATTTTTCCCACTAAAATTAATAAATAGTAAACTTAGAATTTCTACTCCTGCCAACTGTGGACATTTTCTCCTTCTATTTTAATTTTATCTTTCTTAGTTTGGTATAGACAGCTTTTGAGTCTATTATCCTTGCATGCTTTTTGTCTTTATTTTATTCCTACAAAATCATTTATCTGTTTATTTCCTTCTGACGTTTTAAAAGTACCAGTATCACAATTCAAATCCAGACGTATTTAACATTTTCCTAATTAAACGTGACATTACTTTAACTATATGTCTAAATTGATTATTTCTTTAGATTTTAAAGACTATTTTTCTTTAAACTACAATAATAAATGGGGGAAAATGTACCAATTAGTGCTACCTACATTTTGAAGCTATGCAGAAGCACTGGAGCTGACAGGAGACAATATGAAGTCTATTCAAACCCAAACTATCTAATACTACATAGGACAAATTCATTAAAAGCGTCACATGCACGATATTTGAATACAATCAACTACTGAAAACCCTAGCAAAACACTGCAAATATTGCTCTTAACTTCATTTGCATGAAAGCTTACGGGATAATATAGATCCAAAATAATACTAGAATTCTATAGCTCAGATTATGAGCATTTTCCTCAAATTAAACAATGCAGAGATGGTAAAGTAACTATAAAGCTAGAGAGCCTGAATCGCCCAGCTACTCTCTACACCTGCCGTTCATGCCAAGGAAAAATTGTCCAGAAACTTGCAGCTTTCTTCTAATAAGGAATCTAAGTTATCAATATTGAAGTTTTTCTAAAGTATTTAATTCTGAAGTCCTTGAAAATGTCACATTTTAAAAATTAACATTCTACAATATCACTTAGTTTGTAAATCAACTTTTTTGGCTTAATCTGACTTTGAAAACAATTGTGTTTCAGAACACAGTAGTCTCCAGGCTGAATATAATTTGATTTTCTAAAGACTATAAAAAAATACCAACTAAGTTTCAGCAGCATGGGCATCTCCTGAATGCTTTCTAAGGGTATAGCATGCTTACTCTAACATGTGACACAGTTCAATTCAAATAAGAAAACTAGGGAACAGTGTTACAAATAGAAAAGCAAAGATAGAAACATTAGAAAAAAGCATAGGACTGGGTGACTGAGAGGAAGGACAAACCTAAGGAGCCAAGAGGAAAGAAAGTCAGAAGACCTACTTGGGGTGAGTAGGTGGCCGTGCTCCAGACACTGCAGCCGACAGCTGATGGTCTACATTTTACCACTAAAAAAGCCAACTGGAGTTCTAACAAATTAAAGAAACACACGGTATCTTCTGATTTGCCGCATTTTCTCCCATTCCCATAGCATGGCCTACATCTTGAGTGCACTTCAACCACAAAACCAGAACCTGGGCACTACATTTCCAAGTCAGATGCCATAAGAATCTAGCTTCCGAGTGTGCACACGTGTGTTTGAGCATGTAGGCTAAAGGCATGCAACCCTGGTACTCACAGACTTGATGGCAGTGACCTTGCTACGCAGGCTCTCCGTGAGTCTCTCGTTCTCCTCCTCGCAGGCGCTGTACCCGCTGCCCGTGTAGCCATGGCTGCCGTAGGCGCTGGGAGGGGCCCCTTCACCTGCAGGGCCAGAGGCACATGGACACTGGCAGCAGCAGCAGCACTGCCAGGGCCTCCGCAGTCAGGAGAGGCCCCGAGGGTGGCACACAGCACGTGAGTGAGTATCGCCTACCCCAGGTGAATCTTAAAGGCTGATAACCACTCAGTGCCCATGCCAAACCTTCCCACTGCCTGTCTTGGGCAGAGACCAGGCCGCTCATCTCCAATATCGTAGTGGCCTGCAGACTGCTCAGAAAGCAAGACACAGGAACTGACTTGGGTGTTCAGGACACACCCCAGCTCCCCAGAAATGCTTGTGGTAATAAAAAGCTCTGAAAGTACCCACAGAAGAAGAGTGGCCAGGAGGGAAAGGGAGCCAGCGGGGGACACAGCAGAAGGAGCTCCCACTGAGGGAGGGTCCCTGGCTGGTACCTCTTCCTCTTAGAGACTGAGGAGGGTAAGGAGCGCTTCAGGGCATCATTCATGGGAACCCAGATGGAGTTGGGGGACCCATTCACTCTTCAGCACATCCTCATTTTACAGCTGCCGACCTGCCCAGGCACTACTCTTATGGGTCTCTAGGGTGACATTGAGAATGCAGGCCACCACCCTGTCCAGCAGGGCACAAACACCCATCAGACGTACAGAAAGGTGGGGAAAGCCCGCAACAGGGAACCTGTATGCACATGCGAAGACCCAGGGGCGGAACACAGTGGAGGGTGCCAGTTAACTACACTTTTTAATGTATTTTTTTACATAATTGTTGCCATCAATTTTCTCAGTAAGGGGAAAAAAGGGCCATCTGCTGAAGAATGGGTGACAGCCTGGAATCAAGAGTAAGAGAATGATGGAGACAAGTGACAGAACCGCAAAAATCACCAGGAAGATGAGACGCACTGCAGAGGCAATGCTGCAGTGGCCCATCCTCTCGACAGGGAGCTTCCTACAGAAAGGCTCAAGGCTGAGCTTGCCCCAGAGGTGGATGCTGCACCAATCTAGAGCTGGAGCTTGGGACATCAGACAAATGAGGACCCCAGCTACAGAGTGGCTGGCAGTCTGGATGGGGGACTCAACTGCAAAGGCTGAAACGGATTCCACAGGAGCCAAGAATGTGGGGGAGGGACTCTGTGCTCCAAGGGCAGACATGGCAGTGGGGAGGAACAGGACAGGAGGCCACGACCGTGGGTCCAGGGTGATGGAGGTGTGACTGGGAAGCCCTTGGAGGGCACAGCACATACTTCCTGCTCTCCAAGCAGCACCACTTATGGAGTCCTGAAAGCTGACTGCATGTGACACTGATGCTGCCCTCCAGGCAAACACGTCTGGGTCACCCATCACTGCACACCCCCATAAACGCCCACATGGCAAGGCACAGCGGGAGCATCTGAGCACAAACCCCCTGCTAAACAGAGCCGAGGGCAGTCACAGCACAGGAAGGGAGTCATGTGCCGCTGGCTCTCATGCTGCTTCTACCTCCCCCACTAATGAGCACTTTGTATCAGCAGACACCCACACAGCCCCCACCACCATCACACAACAACTAGGAAAGTAAGTTCCCAACAGAAGAGAGTGTGCTATCTACTCTTTCTCCACTGCTGACACACTTCACAAAGCCCTCCATAAAGTTCAGGACTCCAGACCTGGCGTGACACTTCCCCCACTTGACAACATACCCATGATACAATGCATCCTCATTCCATGAATCCACCATACCTTGTGCAAACTCTCCTTAAATAAGGGCCAAGATCCACAAAGAAAAGAACATCTTATCCTATGTGACTCAGGTTCTGAGTACAGAACACTTTACCCAATAAATAAGTACTGACTGGCTGAATTTCATAACTTGATAATTTCACCAAGGAAGTCATTCTAAGTTAATAACTATCTGCTTTCTTTCCTTTGTTTAGCTTCTTTCATGTGTTTTAATTTTTAGAGTTCTTCCACACCCTTCCATTTATCCAAAGTGAAATTCTCATTTCATTTATCAGAAATCTTTCAATGAACATTGCTTCTACTAAAGAGCTGATCTGCCCTTAGACTACCAGTCAAACAAAATGCAAGAGCTAATATTCCAGACACAGTCACCTCTTTTGGGTAAATTACCACTATGGAAAGGTGTAGAAAAGCCAATGAGTACCAAGACCCCCCTGCCTCTGTTCATTTAGTCGAACGCTTCTTTTGGATGGTTTCTATCAATAGCCCAGCACCATCACTTTGAGATCCACGTGGAGCGTGGCAGCTTCTGCAAACACGAAAATCGATCAGATTCACCATTACCCCAAATTTAAGAGTCCAGGTCAACACATGCTTTAAAAAAAAAAGGTAAGATTTAGGAAAAGGCTATTGTAAACTACTGAAAGTTGCAAGTTACCCAAGTCATCACCTCTCCTCTCACCACAGGGAAGTTTGAAAAAGGCTGGGGGTGGAAGGAGTGGTCTATGCTGCTAACCTTGCCTCTGAGAGCCCGGGTCCGAGAGCCTGGGGTCCAGGTAACAGTACTTTTAATACTTCCCCAGTGATTCTAATGGATAGTCTTGACTGAGAGCCATTCGCACGTCTCTTTCCTGCATCTTAACAAGGGACTCTGCAACAGAAAAATATTCAAAAGAACTCCAGGGCTACTGAAAAAATCCAGAGTGTGACCCATGTCCCTACATCAACCAGACTGGCTTAACCCTGATCCCCTAACGACACTATTCACAGTTCTAATCCTACACTGGTTTTTTTTTTTAATTTTTAATTTTTCTTTTTCGGCTATCCTCCCATCTGAAACTCCCCTCTCTCGCCTGCCATTATTCAAGTCTAGCCCAAGTTCCTGGGTCTCCACAGGCACACAGTGGGTCGTCTCTGTACAGCTTGTCTAGCAACTGAATGTGTGGCGGGGCCACTCCTATCACCTCTGCACATGTCGCTCCTCCCTAGCTAGACTGAAGGCACACACAGGGCGACACACCGAGAATGCCCAGCTTACCCAAGTGCAGAGTAAATGCTGTGAGTGATGATGAAAATGAAAAGCATTTAGGCACATCACACTTACTCAAAATTATTTTTTCTCTTCAATTTGTCTAGACCTCTTTCTTTGTATGATCCAAGTATTCATTAAAAAAAAATTCTCTCAAACCACAATGTAGGAATCTCTATAAAAGTCTATAGGCATTGGCAACTTTCATGGACTTTAAATCTCGGACAGTTTGGAAAACGTTTCTTCCCTTTTTCAATCGTATCAGAACGACTGACTTTAGAACGACTTTATCTGCTTTCGCTTGTCCTCAAGTCTCCTGTCAGCTGCCTCAGCAGCGTCTTCCCTTCGTAACTTCGCGTCCCCTGGAGTGCCTCAGGGCCAAGGTAGTAGTCCTGACGCCGGGCGTCACTGCAGGGGCCACTAAATTCCTCGAGCCCAGCCCACCCAGCCTCCTGGCGACCCGCCCGGCCCCCGGGGTCCCAGGGCTGCCCCGACACTGCCGGGTGGGACGGGAGGCGCTTGGGAAGGCCGCCTCGACCCGTCGTCCCGCCAGGACCCCTGCGCCCACAGCAGCGCAGTCATCAGACCCCGCGCCGCCCACCTCGCCCGAAGGTCCCCGGCTTCGAGGCGCGACCCCGAGCGACCCCCGGACGCGCCCCAGGCCTCCGCCCCCGCTCCAGCCTG